TAATGTTGAGTTCAGCAGTCACTTTCCTGTGGGTCCTGCATATCCAATTTACACAGCAACAGTCAAGCAGTCTAGGCTAATCTTGCCATGTTGAAAGCAAACTCCATAACGAGTTTCTTTGATGCCCATCTTCCTCTCAGATGTAATTGGTGATGCCGGGAGCAGACATTTCTCATTGTCAAGAAAAACCTAAAATATTTTAAATGCCATTTTCTGAAGGTCTTTGAAATGTTTGAAGACTATCTATCTCAAATATATTTCTGTATATCTAGAAAACCTAACTTACCTAACTATAAGTTCTGACTATCTATAATCTGTATTTAATTATGCATTATATTTTAAAAGACAGTATAAGCACAATACTTAATCAAGAGGAGAAATATACGCATCACAAAATTGACCTTGAATTTGTATCAATAAATGAAAAACCATACCAATACAAAGTATTCATTTCCATACCATAATCCCATTTTTCCTTTAAAAAGAGATTGATTGTGATCATTAACCAATTATAAACAATCCCATTTAAATGAAAACAAAGATTTATAAACAAGATGGGAATTAGGACGTCGCTCATTCCAAACTGCTTCATGCTGGAAAGGGGCGCTGTTCATACCATGGGGATCATGACAAAACCTAGAAACCTGTATAAGTCTGTATTTTCGGGGTCTGTAAGACTGCATCATCTTAGCTGTTTCAATTGTTGGAACCCCTGGTCCACTGCTTCCGGGAGTCTTGGTTCATCAAACCACAGAAGCCTGGAAGGAATCCTCGGCTTTTCATTTTCTGTAGAAACATAAACAAAAACTCCTTTCCCAAGTAACATATCTTTATACTTAAATTTTGAAGTCAAGGCATTTTCAAAAGATATAAGTTGAATTAATTTAGCAGCATTTATAATCAAGTGTACTTTAGCAGTTGTTCCTTCCTGAGCAATCAAAAAACTGAAAAACACAATAGTATACAGTATCCAGACATTTTGTGTATTTTCCATCTTTATGTGGCTTACATTACTCTATTTCTTTTACTTTATTTATTTATTTATTTCTCTGAGACAGGGTTTCTCTTTGGAAATCAGCCTGCCTCTGCCTCTGCAGCAAATCCTACCAGCTTGCACCACCACAGCTAGATTCTCTATTTATCACTATGCCGTTTCTTTTTCTCTCTCAATCCTATGTATATTTTTAAACACACTGTAAGCCTTTAGAGGTTTCTCTTCATCCAAGTCTGACTTTACTGTAAATCTTTATGTTTTTTCTGGTCACATGTCTTATCTGTTAAAACCGTGGCTGTTTAAACTGCAGTTTTTCCAAGATGGTGGGCGTAAGCGTGACTCCAGCTTACCGCCTCAGTCCATGCTGACATCCAGCAAAAGCTGCCGGCTTGGAGATATGGTCATTGCCACTTCCAGCTGTCCGTACACACCTTTCAATTGTTAGCAGAGCCTCTTAAAAGAACCTTGTTTTTGTTTTGTTTTGTTTTGTTTTGCTTATGCTGAGTCAGGATGACTTTCTTAAGTGAGCCGTGCATGAGTCTCTGCTTGTAGATAGCAAAAGAGCCCACCTGAGAAAACGCTGCTACCAAAAATCTGTGCTTCTCTCCATTCTTCTGTTTCTAAAATTCCTTTAAAGCTTTTGTCATTCTACGTGGAAATTCATCATCCCACTCCTGATCACCATTATGTAAAGGGAAACCTTCCCGCCCCTTTCTTTTTGTTTAGACAGAAAAGAGATGATGGGGGAAGTCCTGTGTATATGTCAATAAAGCACTGTTGGCCAATAGGGAAGTAAGGTAGGTGGGACTAGGAGTCAAGGAGGACTCTGGGTAGGAGAAACACAGAGAGTCAAGATGTACCACCATGGGATAAGAAGCCCGGAAACTACTCCGGTAAGAGGAATACTTAGATTAGCAGCTATGGGATAAATACTTAAGTCAGAGCTAACCAATAAGAAACAAGCAAGGCCAACAGCTTCATAATTAATATAGCCTCCTGTGTGTTTATTTGGGACTGATACGACTCTGGAACCAGGCTGGTGGGAAGGCTTCTCTTTACACCTGATCAATGGATTAATTTATACAAAACCTTAGATGGTGACAAGAACTTAAATAGTCCCATGGAATTAACAGCTGAAGCTGAGAGAGAATTGTATTTTGTGGAAGACGAATTACAGATTTCACATGTGGATTGTGTGGATCTAAAGCTTAATTGCATTCTAGTCATATTACACTCTAAGCATTTCCCAACAGGGGTTTTAATGCAGAGGGGAGATGTTATCATAGAACAGATCTTTTGCCACATAAACTAAGTAAAAATTTTAAAATCTATGTGGAAAAGATCTCTGAGTTGATCCTAAAAGGAAAATTGAGAACTCATCAGATAGCAGGAATAGATCCAGTAGAAATTATAGTGCCTTTTACCAATGATAAAATTTACAAATTATGGGTAGAAAGTGAACCCTGGTAAAGAGGTTCTAGTAATTTTTTGAGAGAGATTAATGACAAAAGCAAGAAAATTCAACTTATAAAGAGAACTAACTGGATCCTTCCTTACATTGTACAGGAAACACCAATAACTGGAGCCCCTACATTCTATGCTGATGCAAATAAAACAGGAAAGGCAGAATACAAATCATAAAGTTTAAGTAAAGTGGATCTAAGTCCTTATAATTCTGTCCAAAAGTCAGAATTAGCCAGGGGTTGGTGGCATATGCCTTTAATCCAAGCAATAGGGAGGCAGAGGCAGGAGGATCTCTGTGAGTTCAAGGCCAGCCTGGTCTACAGAGTGAGTTCCAGGACAGCCTCCAAAACAATACAGAGAAACCCTGTCTCAAAAAATCAAAAAAAATGTCAGAATTATATGCTATTCTCATGGTGTTAATGAATCATAAAGAACCTCTCAACATAGTTACTGATTCACAAGAAAGACTTATTTTGCATATTAAAACCGATGAATTTATACCAAATGATACGGAATTGACTTCATTATTTATTCAGTTACAGGGCATAATCAGGAATAGGAATCATCCCATATATATATAAAACACACATCCAATCCCATATGGGTCTGCCAGGCCCTCTGGCACAAGGTGATCATGAAATTGATCAGCTATTGATAGGAAATATGCTAAAGTCCTCAGAATTTAAAGAAAAAAACCTATGGCAGATGAATGTGTTCCATTTTGTAGAATTTGAAAAGTTAAAATATGTACATCACACCATTGATACCTAGTCAGGTTTTCAACAGGCAGCTGCTTTGAGTTTGGAAAAAGCTGATTCAGTAATTACATATTTGCTAGAAGTTATGACCATCATGGGTATACCTGCTCAAAATAAAACAGACAATGCTCCAGAACATGTTTCTAGTAAAATGAAACAGGTTTTTTTAACTTATTATGATAAAGCATATTACAGGTATGGCACACAATCCTACAGGGCAGGCTTTAATAAATCATAAATAATACATCACCACACCCTGTGCCTGTCAGATCTGTCTAATTCCTAGTACCTCAGAACCAACGAGCTCTCCACATAACGACAGCTCACAGCCTCTCGCAGGCCTCTTGGATAGTTTTTGACTCCCCACAGAATCAGTACACAGATGAAGAGGAGAGATGAGACCTTTAACACTGCACCCAACCTCCTCAGAAGCCCCTGGCTGGGCAATGATCTCATAAGAGCTCCACCTTGCACCCCATCCAAGAGGCCTGGGGACTTCTAGCGACACCTCACAGTCCCATGGGGTGCTGTGGATTTAGGCAGAACCTGTCCATAAATCCTTGGTATTGATTAGGAGAGTGTTCATTCCCCGACAAGTGAGAGGCTTTGTGCATCAGGTAAACTTCAGGGTCGTAACAGCCTCCCTTTAGATATGTTTAAAATTGTCTATGGTTGTGAGTGTTTCATCTGCATACATGTCTGAGCCCCATATGCATGCCTGCTGTGTATTTAGATAAATCCTATCCCCTATGGACTAGGGGGAGTGTTCTGGTTTTGCCGTTTTTGAAAGGGGGACCAGTGGCTATGGATGTAGCTCAGTTGGTAGAGTGTTTGCCTAACATGTACAAAGTCCTGAGTTCCCTCCCAACACCGTGTAAATCAGTTGTGGCGGTGCATGCCCATAATCCCAGAACTTGTTGAGGTGGAGACGAGGAGAGGGGAGCTCAAGGCCATCCTCAGCTATGTTGTAAGTCTGAGGTCAGCCTGGGCTGACCTCACAGAAGAAAGGTAACTGGTGTGATTCAAACTTCATGCTCAATCCAGGCAAAGCTCAGGCTTTGCCACCGATTGTGGGCTTAGGTCCCAGGAGGGTGTCCTGCTAGTTTTATGTCAGTTTGACAAAAGCTAGAGTCATTTATTTGAGAAGAGGCACTCGATGCTGAGAAATGCCCCCATAAAATGATGCCACACTCCTTTAATCCCAGCACTCAGGAGGCAGAGGCAGGCGGATTCTTTGTGAGTTTGGGGCCAGCCTGGTCTACAAATTGAGTTCCAGGATAGCCAGGGATACACAGAGAAACCCTGTATCAAAAAGAAAGAAAGAAAGAAAGAAAGAAAGAAAGGAAGGAAGGAAGGAAGGAAGGAAGGAAGGAAGGAAGGAAGGAAGGAAGGAAAAAGAAAAAAAGATTTGCCTGTAGGAGGGTGTGTGGTTAATGATTGATTGACGGGGGAGGGCCCATGTTGCTGTGAGTGGTTCACTCCTGGCAAGGCCTCCTAGGTGCTATAAGAAGCAGGCTGAGCAAGCACTCCTCCACAGCCTCTGTATCATCAGCTGCTGCATACAGCTTCCTGCCTTGTTTGAGTTCCTCATTGACTCCCTCGGTGATAGAGTGCGTGTGACCTGAGGGCTGTAAGCTGAAAGAGATGCTTTCCTCCCAAAGTTGCTTTTGGTCATGGTGTTTATCAGTGGAAACCCCAGCGTAAGACGAGGGGCATCCACTTTCTGGGCTGGGAATAATCATCACTATTGTGGATCTTGGTTCTCTTCCTCTCCTTCTCTGCAGAGTTCCAACCGAGCATTCAGCCTGGGTTTTGGAAGTTGCCCCATGCCTGGAGACGCACCAATGCCTCCTTGGTCTACCCCTGGCTGGAGCCCCTGGATTCATTCTCAGAGGAAAGCAGTGACGCATGCTTGGTGCAACTGCTAGGAACAGGGTGGGTCCTCCCTATCTCCCCAGTACCGAAAAGCCCCACAGTTTTCCTTCAGCCATAAGCGGAGCTTTGAGCAAATGTAGGTGTGTGTGCACAGCTGCTCGGTAACCCTCTCCCACCCTGCTCCGTGCAGTCCAGACCTCACTTTCCCTGGACCACAGAGTTTGAACTCCTCCCCAAAGTGGCTTTGTCCAAGTCCCTCTGTGCACAGGACAAAGCCTCGGTCCCCACCAGGCCCCTGCAGGGCCCCAAGCACATCTCATCCAGCCTCTGGGGGCCCCTTACAGACTCGGTGGGTCCAGGAAGGCAACTGAACAGTCTTACTCCCCATTTCCTTCTGCAGCTGACGGACTTGCAGCAAGGCCTAGGGCATTTTAGTGCAGGGGGCAGGGCAGGATGGAGGGGGCAATGTCTTCTTAGCCTCCTTCAGCTGACCCACAGAGGGGCCGCACCCTGGGTGGTGACCTATACTGTCATGTAGGGCATGAGTAAGTATGATGAATCCAGACCACACTTCCCAGTTTGCTGGGTTTGAATTGTCCTTTATGTAGGAGACTGATAGGAAAGATATTTGGGGACTCCGTGGAGTGATAGGAAGTCTCAGACACTGGTGGCTGTCCAAGCCCAGGACAGTTCAGCATCGGCTCCTCTGAGCTAGATAAGATCAGGACACAGCAGCCATGTTGTCATATACCGTAGTCCCAGCACTCAAGGAGGCTGAGACAGAAGGAGTGGGATACAGCATGAGATCTTGTCCCAAAACAAAGTAAGACCTGGGACACCTGTATTGTATTTGGTAACCCTTGTGCCCCGAACCCTCACCCTAACAATCATGGGGGAAACACAGGGTGTGTGAACTCTGGGTAGGATGGGAGGGAGCATTGTCCTCATCAGTCTGGCTTGTGTTCTCGCAGGACAGACAGCAGCCAGCCTTGCAGGCTCTCCAATTTCTGCAGGACCCTTATGACCAAGGCTGGATGCTCAGGCTACAGCCTGTCCCACCAGCTGCTCTTCTTCCTCTGGGCCAGAATGGTAAGTGCTGAGCAGAGAAGCCAAGCCTATTCTCAACTCTTTTTTCCTCCCATAGCTTGGCATGGTGTGCTGTGAGGCTCCCTGGCCCACGCTTTCTAGCGGCACTTGGAGCTGCCTTAGAGCGCCGCCTACTGTTTGTTCTCATGTCAGGCGCTACCACTACTTAACCCACATTGCCAACCCAAGCAAAATCCCCTCTATGGGTAGTTAGTGTTCAACCTATGAATGCAGCGCAACACAAAACTGTAATCCCACTTAAAACATTATAAAGTTTTCTGAGGGTCCTTTGTAACTCCACTGTGCATATGATATCAGCCCAGAATATCAAAAGGTTGGACACACCTGCATGGCCTTCCCTTTCTGGAAATAGACTTTGAGGCTCAGAAAGGCTAATCAGCGAGCCACGGTCATTTAGCTCCTAGTGGACAAACCAGAATCTAAGCTGACTTCGCTGACCTGCAGAGAGGCGAGTGTGGCTGGGAAAGGAGGAGAGCCCCTCCTCCAGACACAGCCCCTACAAAACCAGCTAGAGCTGCAGGCCCTCCCTAACTGAGCATGTGTCTCCCACACACCCACATCCTGGTCTCCTGCTGTCTGTCCCCCAGCAAGGGTGCACCCAGGGGCTGTTCCACCAGAGCCAGCACTACATGGATGTCTTCTGTGCCAATATGATGGAACTGAACCGGAGAGCCGAGGCCATGGGATACACCTACCCCACCCAAGACCTCTTCATGGAAAACAGTAAGCCTAGCCTTCTTCCCTCAGGGTAGGGGAGGGAAGAGGGTGCTGACAAGGGGACTGCATGCACACACTACAATTGCTAAATTAAGTAAACACCGAAGGTGCAAGCCTGGGGAGGTGGCTTTGTCAGGACCTGAGCTTGAGCCCCAGCGCTCCTGTGAAAAAACCAGGTGTGGTGACACGTGACCCGTGCTTGTAATCCTTGAGGCAGGGACAGGCAGAGCCCTAAGGGAACTGGGAAGGCAGAGACTGGATCCTCTGGACTTGGTGGCCAGCCAGCTTAAGTGAATGGGCAAGTCAAGGTCCCAAGAGGTCCTGTCTTCAAAAGTGAGGTGGGCCTAGCTAGATGGTTCTAGGGGTGAAAAGGTGAATTCAGTCCCTGAGAGTCACAAGGTAGAAGGAGAGAATCAGCTCCCACCAGCTGTCCTCTGATCTCTACACACATGCTGACGGGCAATAAGAAAATAAATAATGTAATAAAAAATAAGGTGGACAGCACTTTAGGGATGACACCATAGTTAACCTCTGGCCTCCACTTATACAAATACATATGTTGCTTATTAGGGGCTTAAATGTAACTGACCACTGTGTATGTTTGTCACAGTGACTGCTCTTTACTCACCAAATCCCATCTACTGAGGGAGTTCTGGACAGACTGACCAACTGGCAAACAGACCCCCCAACCCATCCCCAAGGTCTTGGAGATAAAGAGAAAGGGAGCCCTTGGGTGGCTGCTTCTTTCCAAATTCCTCCACAAAGCCTGACTCCTCAGTCTGGTGATAGGACCAGAGAGGAAGGACGAGGGCCTGGGAGCCTCTGGTGACTAAGACAGAACATCCAGCCCCTCCCCACCCCATAATCCTAGAGCAGAGGAGGCAGAAGCAGGCAGGTTCCTTAACCATGCCTCCTGTGGTGGCCCCAGAGACACAAGGAAAAACACAGGTAGAGACAGGCCTACAGAGGAACCTTGATGTGTGTTGCAGTTATGTTCTGTGGTATGGCTGGCTTCTCTGACTTCTACAAGCTGCACTGGCTGGAGGCTATCCTCAGCTGGCAGAAGCCCCTGGCGGGATGCTTCGGGAAGCCTGGTGAGTTGTCTGTCTGCCCTGGATGGGAGCAATGGTTGGTGGGGTCCTGGTTTTGGGGTCATTCAAGAAAAGGACGTACTGGCACTGAGCATTAACTGTGATTTGCAACACATACGTGTGTGTGTGTGTGTGTGTGTGTGTGTGTGTGTATGCTGGAGATGGGCTTTGCATTCTGAGAGCCCAGTTTGGCAAATGGGAAGGCATCCCTGTGAGGAAGTTTGACCTGCTGCACTTGTGTTAATAAATCCATTCCTTCAGCATTTCCTGAGTGTATGTGAATGTGCCAGACATTGTCTGGGTACTAGGGAAGTCAGGGCTGAAGGAAGGGAACAGAACCCCTACACACACAGACATGGTCATGCCAAGTTCTGCCAAGAGCTGAGAAAGCACAGTACACTGGAGAAGAAGTTTCTTTATACAGGTGTTATCAGGGAAGTCTGCAAGGAAGGGGTGACAGTTGAGAAGCCACGGGAGAAGCCTCTTCCAACCATGTGACACAGGACAGCAGATTGTCTTCAATTTTCCCATCTGAAAATAAATGAGCACAAGCATCATCACCTTCCAGAAATTTCCAGATTGTGCCCGCTACAGGGCAGGCTCCTGAGAAGTGCCAGGATCTTCATGAGAAGCTCGGAGTCCTTAAAGCAGCAACCACCTTTGCAATACGAAGAAAGCTAAGATGTGGTGATGCGCTGAGGCGTGGTGATGCGCTGAGGCGTGGTGATGCGCTGAGGCGTGATTATGTACGATGGTGATGTGGCGCCGTCTCTCTAGCCACTGGAGAGACTGAGGGCAGAGGATCAGAAGCCCAAAGCCTGCCTGGCCTCAGAGTGTGTCTCAGGTTGGCCTGAGCCATTCAGTGAGACCCTGCCTCAAAATAGCAATTGGGGGAGGGGCACTTCAAGTAGGCATAGGGTGTGTGCAAAGACCATTGCCACCAAATCCGATGACCTAGTTCCTGTGGTAGAAGAGAATTGACTCCCACAAGTTGTCTCCTGATCTCTACACACATGCCATATCACCCCCAAATAATTCAATGTAATAAGAATTTTATTTAGGTGTATGAGTGTTTTCCTGAACGTGTCTGTGTACCACATGTATGCAGTACCCACAGAGGTTAGAAGAGAACTTGGGTCCTCTAGGACTGCAGTTACAGAGAGTTGTGAGCTGCTGTGTTGGTGCTGGGAATCAAACCTGGGTCCTCTGGGAGCACAGGAAGTGCTCTTGACAGCTGATCTGTTTCTCCACCCCTGATAATAATTTTAAAAGGGATTAGGTGGCAGAGTGCAGGCCCAGCATATGCAAGACTCCAGATTCAACATAAAGTACCACAAAAATAAATAAGTAAAAGAAGTTACAAAAACAGCTTACAGTGGCTCACATATATAATACCAATGCTTGGGAGGCTGAGGCAGGAGGATTGTTATAATTTCTAAGCCAACTTGGTCTATGGGGTGAGAACCTATTTCAATCCAACAGCTTGTCTTGGTAGCACACACCTTTAATCCCAGCACTAGGGAGGTAGAGGACGCAGGAGGATCTTTGTGAGTTTGAGGCCATCCTGGTCTATAGGTCAAGTTCCTGGAGAGTCAGAGCTACATAGTGAGAAACACATCTCAAACAAACAAAAACAAACAAACAAACAAACAGTATTACCATGGTTTATAAAATGCAGAGGCCTAGGACGCTTAAGGAGTGAATGGTCCTATAGGGCAGACCTTTGCATTTCTTAGGAGCCCTCTAGAGGTTCTGATGTATGGGGTGGAGTTAAGAGGACAAACATGACCCTGTGGTGGGCTCTATAGATAGCCACAGGCAGAAACCTCTAGAACAGTGGTTCTCAACCTTTCTAATGCTGGGACTCTTTAACACAGTTCCTTGTGTTGTGGTGACCCCCCAACCTTAAAAATCATTCCATTGCTACTTTGTAACGGTAAATTTGGTACTGTTACAAACCTTAATGTAAACATCCAATATGTAGGATATCTGATCTACAACTACCAAAGGGGTCACGACCCACATGTGATAACCCCTGCTCTAAGTCCCTAAAAGGGTCAGGAGGGCAAGAGGCTTATTGAGTGAGAGTTAAAGCCTGTCCTTCTCCTTTGGCTCTTCTCCAGATGCAAAGAGGGAACTTCTGGAAGGCACTCCACATCGTCAGGGCATTCTAAGAAGAATTCGAAGATGGGAAAAACTGTTTACAGGTGACAAATACTCAGGGGCTCACTTACCCATCACCCAAGCAATCAAGGCTTTCTCCTGTTTGGTGGTGGTTGTTTTCCCCAGTACAAGGGGATAAGACCAAGGGTCTTGGGCATGCTGGTGAGTGCTTTACTACTGAGCTTTCCCACCTGTTTGCTCCCTCAGTGGGAAAAGGCCTGAGCCTTACTTGTAGAGGGCAAGGGAAGGGTTGGCATCTATGATGGTCTTCTTAGGTCAGGACACCAAATATGCCTACTCGGTGCCTGGAAGATCATCTGGAGAAATCCATGAAGCATTTATGATAGAGGGGAGGGTATTGAACAAAAGTCCAATTTGCTCCCGGGACCTCTCTCCTCCCTACAGATGGCTGCTCTTGCCACAACACAGCCACCGCAGTCGCAGCCTTGGGTGGCTTTCTCTACATCCTGGCAGAATACCACCCAGACAATGGAGAGCCACATCCACCCACACAGTCACCAGAGAGCGACTATCAAGATGGTGCTACCATGCCTGAGGTGCAGAGGATTGGCAGGCCTCTTAGAGTTTCTTCTTAGATCCTGGAGTCAAGGGTCACATGCTGAGGGAACACCTGGGGAAATTGAGCAGCTATAACCCCATCACCACATCCGGGTGTTTAAAAGTATCAAGAGAGCAGGGCCAAGGAAAGCAGAGTTGGAGAGTCGGGTCGACCAGATGTCAGCAGAGTACATAAAGCATAGTCAATTGCAGCTGAGTCTTTTGTCTTTTGTGTATATGTATCAGATCGGTGTTTGTTGAGACAGGGTCTCATAGGGTATCCCTGGCTGGACTGGAACTCACAGAGACCTGCCTGCTTCTGCCTCCACAGTGCTGGGATTAAAGGTGCATGTCCAGTTGTGTATCTGATAGTGGTGTGTAGTCCAGATTGGGCTCAAGATCCTCCTGCCTCCACTTCCAGAGTGCTAGGATCACAGGTGTGTGCCGTCACACCCTGTTGGGAGTTGGGTCTTGTTTCTCAGCCATAAGGACAATCTTGGATGACTTCAGGGTCTGTTTCAAGTCCCCAGTCTCAGTCAGCACAAATCCTGAATGGACCCAATGTCCTACTCTATTCTCTGTAACTATAGCAGAATTTATAAGCAATGGAAGTTTATCTGGCCTACAGTTCTGGAGTCTGTGAAGTGCAGGGGCATGGTACTAGAATCAAGTGAGGGCCTGTATGCTGCTTCATATCATGGCGGAAAGGCAAGAACATGTGTAAGACAGAGATGGGGAAAGAGACTGGAGCAGGACAGACCCATGCCATGATAAGAAACACTCCTGACAGCATGGCATGAATCCTACCAGAAGCACCCAGAACCAAATTTCCTCCTAACAGTCCCTGTCTTAGCTTAGGTTTTTATTGCTGTGTATGATGTAAGCAGCCATAACACTGTACAGACAGTGCAGAGTGCCCAGTGGTCAGACGGTGGCTTTGTGCACAGGCTCCAGTGCTCTGTCATTGGACGAAGCCCCTAACTTCTCTGTGACTCTGTTTCTCCTTCTGTAACATCAGGATGATGACATCATCTGTCTCGATATGATGTTCACAGCATAAAGATGCTGTCTTTAGGGTGCCAAAAACTGCCGGTCACACTCAGTGCCAGCAAATGCCACGTAGAGTTATGAGATCAGAATGTCACAGACTGAGGGGAGTGTCCCAAAGCATTAGAAGGGACAACTGGCCCTCCCTGGAGTATCTCTCCCTCTCAGTTCTTCCTCTCCTCTGCCTCAGGAAGGTATCTGAATGCTTTAGCATTTAAGAAAAGATCTTCTAGGACATTCTTAGGGGTTCAGAACCATCCATAGGGATGACTGCACACTGTAAATATTGCTTGCACCAGGCTCGAGAGTAGAAAACAAGCTCCCAACTCAGTCCTAATCCAAAGGTGCTTTGACCACACAGGCCCTCTTTGCCTTAAGTGGAAAAGGCTGCTGATATCCTTATGTGACAGCTGAGCCACACCAGAGTCTGGGAATTAACATGTCTCTCATGTAGTCAATCAAGCATGGTGGCACACACCTGAAATTCCCAGCACTTGAGAGGTGGAGGCACGAGAATCAGGAGTTTTAGGTCATCCTTGGCTACATACTGAGTTCAAGACTAGGCTGTACTACATGTCTCAAAAAACCAAAAAGGAACTAGTCATGTAAGCCTTACAAGCCAATTTCAATCCTTCCAGTAAAAACTAAACAAAACAAAAAATAGGTATGGATGGGCCTGATGGTGCATGTCTTTAGTCCTAGCACTTGAAAGGCAGAGGCAGGCTGATCTCTATGAGTTCCAGGCCAGTCTATTAGCTAGATCTTCTCTCATAAATAAACAGATGTGGGTCTACAAGATAACCTACCAGGTAAAGACACTGCCTGATGATCTGAATTTGATCCCCAGGACCCTCATATGTTAGAAGGAAAAAGCCCTCCCCCTCGAACTGTCATCTGACAGCCACACCTGTGTCTTGGCTTGCACATCACCCACACACCCCTATGCACAGCTCAGATGGTAAATATCTGGCACTCCTACATGGAGTTATGAGACAGGGATGAGAGACTCTCCTAAAAGCCTGTGGCCAACTCGATTAGACAGCACAGCAGCAGAAATGAAGAAGACCCTGCATCAACAAGAAAGAAGCTAGAAGCAATCCTAAAAGCCGTCCTTCAACCTCCAAGTCCCAGAGTGCATGCCCATGCATGAACACACACACACACACACACTAAAAATTCTAAAGAAGAGTTATGTCCTTAACACTTTTAATTAAATAACCAACCCGTTGTTCCTGTTTTCAGTCCAATACCAGTGGTAGGGCTGTGGGACTGATCTTTTAAATCTCTCTTTTCACCTAATCTTCCCTATGGTCCCCAGGACACTTTACCACAATCCTTCTTAAGTTGTCAGACCCAAGAATAGTGGCTGGAATCGCTGGCAAGTTTGACATGCTTCTGAGGCTGCTGTCTTCTTAGGGAATCAGGAGCCAGAATTTAATCCCTATTGGCCTTGAAGGATTTCCTTCGCATCACTTTATCAACACAAAGTTACCAAGACAGGCTCTCAGATTTGGGAGAAGTTGGCTGCACATAAACAGATTAGAGGAGAGTTACACCCACCCCATCCTTTCTGAATCTGAGCGGGGTTAGTGACTGAGCTGGTTAATGATGTAGTTCCAAAGCTTAAGTTACTAAACTAGGGCTGGAAGAAGGTAAGGGAGCCTGTGCTGACAGGTCAGGGCACCCTCCCAGAGAGCCACAAGCCAGAACCACACCGAGGGAATAAGAGACAAAGACAGGAGATAGAGGACAGGAAGAGGGGGAAAGGAACAAGGGAGAGGAGGAAGGGATATTTGCCCCAGAGAGACAAAGGACTGATTACTTCTGGATAGAGAAGACAGCTGCGCCCACAGGCAAATTGAAGTTTATAAAAGGAAAGGGGGGAACCCCATGTTAGGATGAGTTGGTTTGTCTTGATTGGCCATGTTAATTAGGTGAGCCAAAGGGGGCTTTTGATTGATGGGCTTCGATACTTTGATAGCTGGACCTTGGTAGTCAGCCTCAGGAAGAGGAAACGGCCAAATAAGGAAACAGACCCTTGGTGGCTAGCTATAGGAATGTAATCTAAGGATTTTAACAAAGCAGAGGGAATCAAGAAAGGACAAGGCCTTCCAGAATCACATTTGTTATGCTAGGACCTGTGTTTGACATCCTGGGGCCTGCAAGAGCCCTTCATCCTGTCTCCAAAAACAAAATACAATAATGTAAAATTAAAAAAAAACAACTTAAAATAGATCTACCATATGACTCACCATTCCTGGGTATTTACCCAAAAAGACTGTAAGTCAGCACAGCACAGAGATATCTGTTTATCACAGAACTGTTCTCACAGCCAAGATAGGGCATCGGTCTAGATGCCTGTCAGTAGATGATGGAGGAAATGCGGTGTATATGCACAGTGGCATTGTCTTCAGCTATGAAGGATGAATTATGTTCTTTGCAAAAAAATCATCAGAACAAGAGATCATCACTTAAGCAAAATAAGCCAGACTCAGAAAAACAAACATTATATGCTTTTTTTCATGTGTGGAATCTCAATTTTATTACTATTATATCATATATATACACATATGTATGTACATGTATACACACACACACACACACACACACACGACATAAAAGTAGAACCATTTGGCAGAGGAAGGACAAGCTTGAAGCCCTGAGTTCTGTCCCTTGTACTGTAAGAAAACAGGCATGGGCATGATGGTACAAATCTACAATCTAGCACCAGGACCAAGGGTCATCCTTAGCTACACAGCAAATTCAAGACCAGCCTGGGCTACATGAAACCTAAAAAAAAAAGAGAGAGAGATTAATTCTGGAGTTCACTCCACTGAGCCATTCGCGATTTTTTCTCTCTGCCTTGATGACGACTGCAGTGTGCCTTGTGACAACTGTGGTGTGCCTCAATGACGACTGTGGTGTGGAGCACCACGGTTGCCTAGGTAACTGTGGAAACTTGAGGTTACCTTTGCTAGTAACGTTGACTCTTTACTGGAATCCACAGATATGAGGGACGACTAAGATGAGATAAATGTCCTGACATCTCTGTCTTCGTATCTCTATGTTCCCTGGGACTGCAGATGCTGATTACCTAAGAAACATTTTATTCAAAGCTACAACACGGGTGGTCCTGGCTACTGCCAACTGTGACTGCTAGTGTCCCTTCCAGCCCTTCCTGTACTCTGTCACCAGCTCACACATCGACCATCCCCTGGCCCAGACTAAACCACAAGGCCAGGATGTTACACAAGAGGAGGAAGGCTGCAGCACGAGGAGCTCTGCCGTTCCTAGGCTCACCCACAGCCCACTGGCCTGCAAAGCCGGAAAGCTGAGTGTGTGCCCAAGAGGGAAACTGTGCCTGGTTAGTAGGCAGGTGCCAGACTTTCTTCAATCCCCAGAAAGCTGAAAACAAACCAACAAACGAAACCTGATACTTTCCTCATTTAGTGTCAGGCTCGTTCTGCCTCCAACACACCATAGGCCTGCAGCAGCTGAAGCCCTGAGCACAGGAAGACATCCCAAAAAAGGATGAGATGGGCTTGTTGCTGGTGTATGGCTTGGTTTTGTTTTCTTTGAGACAGGGTCTCTCTGTGTGAGCCTTTGAGAGTCATCACCTTTGCTGGGGAGGCCTTTTCAGCTGTCTTTGAGTCACCCATATTCCTGTGCACAAACGCTCACCCACACTTCTGCAAGGAACCCCAATAAACTCACTGACTCACCAGGCTGGACTCGGAAGGAACTGTTCCTCCAGTCTGTTGTTGGTGCCCTGAGGTGAACAGATATTTATTTTCATTTCCCCAGGAAAAGTCACACACGCTGTTGAATAACAAATGATGACAGAACCTAGACTAGCTACCTCCAGCTGAGGAGGAAGTCCCTAGCTCAGCTGTCTGCCCAGTTTAACCAGGATAACACCTTCAAGGGAGAAGCAGGCATTGAAACAGAGAATATCAAAGCCAGAACCTGCCTTGTCAGTGGCCCAGGCCTGCAGTGAGAGAAGAAAGGACTTCTGCAGGAAGGGAGGATGTGGCAGGCCTGGCTTACTGGCCGGCCTCCTTTAGCAGCCCAAGCAAAGCACAGAAAGACATGGTCCTCCAAATACACATGGTGGTATCCAACCAGATCATTTAATACTGCATCCCCCAGAAGAGCAGCCTCTCTG